CGCTTCTCCTCCCCCCCCACCACATCCACTTTTTATTTAATAAATATGTATGTTTCACCTGTACCGTGGGGTGGATGGGAGTCTGAACATATTCATTATAAGTTGATATAGATACAGTTTTAATATTTAAAAATTCACCTCTAATATGTATATAATATAATTTATATATATAATTTTTCTTACATTCTTTTGCTTCCATCGTCACCAAAATATTCTCATTCATTTGATAAATGTACATACTTAATGATTTTTGATTGATTCAACTATGTATATAGTAGTTTTTTCTGTGTGTGTGTGTGTGTCTGTGATATTTCGAGTCAACTGTGTTCATGTCGTTTATTTAAACCATGTGCACTGATATGCACATGCACACACCATCTGATTTTCAGCATGGAGCAATTTCTCTCATTCCGTTGCTGTTGATTTCCCTCACTGCTTTTGTGTATGAAAGCTGGATGTGAGTGTGCTTTTTTGTGTGTACCTGTCTTTCATATCGTACTTATTAAATATGTACGAATTCGAATATCGATTGCATTGAATGCCGAATAAACGATTTTGTTCATTTTGCAATTTCATCTTGGAGCCACATTTTGAGCGATATAGCAACCCGAGCTGATGTCATGCATTCCATTTTGCAAAATTGTAACAGTTTGTAATAGTTTGTAAAAGCTTTAAATTTAAAGGTGTTTGCAAGCAAAATTTAATGAAATAAGACATTCCATAGGAATTCATACGTTTCATTTTGTTTTTATTCGCCAAACAATTGCGAGACACAGAGCAAGAATTTGATCAAAGAGAAAATCAAATGAATTGTGGCTTGCTTGATTTCAGTGATTGGTCGATTATTTATTTTTACTGCCAACCGTTTTTATTGTATTTATTCATGCAGCAGTAAATTCTTGACTGATTGAATTGAAATCCTGGTGTGTTTTGTGCGCGAATATGTGAGTGTCCGCACTGTGTGCGCACTCCATAATTCAATTTTCAGGTAGGAGTTTCCACACCAAGTTTTGATGGTTTCTTTTCAACTAGAAATCATTTCATTGCATTTTTGTTTGCTCATTGATGAATTCATCATTCTCTTTTATTTTTCGCACTATATTATTATGTAGTTTTATTCGTTTCGTTTGTAGATTATTTGTTTTTTTTTTTAGAACTGTTGTACAAAATGCACATTGTATGCACAGTAAATAAAAGGACATCATTACAAATGATGTCGTGGTTTTGTCATAGGAATCTTCCATAATTCATGATGGTTTCGATCTATTTCCGTTCTAAATTCATGATAGCTGACAAATTATAAGCGATTTTAAGCCATGTGTTGTATTGCCACCGACTGCATGAGAGAGAAAGAGATGGTTTTGCTCTTTGGTTGGTATGAGTTTTAAAATAATACTTTCTACAGCACGACAGCTTCAAATCTCTCATACAAAATGCTGAAAATGATGCGATGATTTGGACGAGAAAAGCGGATCGACCATAATAAGCTCAGCTTTCTGTTAATTTGATTATTTAAAGTGAAACGTTAAGGCAGAATATTTCATTGATTTTCATAGATCTGAAAATTACAAACTATTCGTCTCAAAAAGTCCGATTTGTGGTGTGAACTTTAATCGGCGTATGCAAATTTCGATAGCACCAGAGCTAAAATGAAACAAAAACTGCATGAATGCGAATTCTGAGAATCTGTAACGTATTTGATGTTGTGTGTAGAATACATTGTAGTTTTGGGCTTGAAACGTGATATGTGCTGCTTTCACGAAAAATGAGCAAACGAAAACTAGGTAAATATTAGATATGGTGAAAGCAAATTCGACATGAAAAATTTGCCAGGAATCATAATACACTGAAACTGACATTGAAATACGTATATTACAACGGACTGCCACGCGGTAGTGTACCATGCATGCAAAAAAAATGATGACGCAAACTTTTGAAATCCTTTTAGCAGCTTTTTTTTTCTCGGCAAGAACCCTATCACGCTCTCTATCAAGTATCAACGATAGCATTTCAATTTATAATGAAATCGGTTTATGTTGAAAACACAAAACTTTTGCATCATTTCCATTTTATATTCATGTGGAATCATTTCGTTCAGGTGCTACCGGAGTATAATAGGCGCGCGAGAAAACGCTACTCAAATAAACAGTTCCGCATGGAAATAAAGAAATCCGAAATTAGCAAGTAATTTGACTCCTGGCGGTGATTTTAGCCACAATAATAATTTTCTGTTCGTTGAGTCCATTTTGTGCACCAGTTAATCCTTTTAATTTGTGTGGCAAATCAATTCTCAAGACAGAAATTCACGAACAACAACAAGAAACACAAGTTTTAGATCAGTCTGTAAACATACATTTCGATTTTCTATATTGTGAATGTTTCTGGCGTCATGACTCAAGAGTTTGGTATGAGCCTTGAATATTTGAGAATTCAAAGAAATTCAACGACCATTACAATGTTACACTTTTTTCCATTGATATATGAATATCATACATTCGACAGTTTTCAGGGGGAATTTAATCTACTTTTTATCTGCTGTTTTTTCGTTTCTTTCTTTCTCTCTCCCTCTCTCTCTCTCTCTCTCGATCTCCCTTCGTTTCCCCAAACGTTGCACTCACCGTAGAAACTTTGTTATTTTCTTATATAGATGCTTCCGTGCGAGAACTTAATAAATGAAATAAGAATAGTTTTAGCTAGATGTAAGACGATATATAAGAAAGGTAAGTTGAAAATAATGGTATAGAGTAATTAAATGTATTGTATAGAGCTAAAAATACGAGAAATTTGATTGTCGATACAAGCAATATGTTTGTGTTTCCTTCTATCAAATTTATCTTTTCAACTATCGTCAGATTATCTGACTTTGACACGCACGTCTCTTTCAATTCGAGTGTGTACTTTTTTGAAATACTGATTGCATTAAGTTCGAATATTAATTCATTAAATCTCATCACATCCAATGAGAAACGCGCTTTACTCGGTGTTTTCATTGCGTTATGTGCAGTAAGTGCACGACACAAAAAAAAACGGAACGTAATCTAAAGTTATTTGAAGTAAACCATGTCATGTTGACCACTATACGTCCCTTTTGGACAATAATAGGTTATTTTTCCAAAAAAAAAACCATTCAAACGCTGTCGATCATTGAATGTTTTTCAATCACTTGTGCTTCATTCTAGCGAGAGGTAAAGCGCTGCATTTCGACTACTCTTGATATGACAAAAAGGATTTTGATTGTCCTTGCGATTGTGTAATTTCTCATTATCTGTTTTACGTTCAGTCATACTTATAGATTGTTGTTTAGCAATTATTTACAATTTTCCTTTTAGACGATAAACCTTGTGTTCAATTATTATTTGTTTTAATTTACAAGACCTACGGATTGTCTGCTAGCGAAACGATGTTTAACTAAAAAATAGTGTCTAGTGTTATTTGTGGCTCCGATGAACATATTTTTTCTTTAAATTTCATATGGGAGGTTTGTGAATTCGTTTCACCACTTGCGCAAAGTTCAAATTCACTAGTTACAGGCGATGGGTTAAAATATATATTTCGGAAGATTTTTTTTTTTGCGTGTGTCCATTTATTTTTTCAAAATTATTTCAAGTTATCTCGATTTTCATCAGCCGCTCGATTTTTGTTGTCTCTATATTGGGGTGAAATACATATTTTCTCATGCCATTTAATCTATTTTTATTAATCACTTCTTCTTATCGCTTACAACCCAAAATTTCACTTGAAAATAAGTGTTCGAATGCATTTCAATAATGGCACTTCAAATTGATTATGCAATATCAAAATGTTATCATCGAAATGCAGACGATTCGCATGAGACACATAACATTATTATTTTGTTGAATATCTGAATATAAGATTGGCCATCAGCGATGACATTCTTAAGTATCCAAAGCAATATTGTATTAAATTCGGATTTTGTATGTGTGTACAATATTCTCCACTCATAGACTCTCTATCGTTCTCTTCCTGATTCTTCGGCGTCTGCTGAATATATCTTTAAACGCTGTTCATTTTTTTTGGTTGTTCTCTTCGTTTATTTTTAAAACGTACTCAATGTTGGAATAACTGCTATGCAATTTTCTATGGTCGTGCTTAAGATTTGATTTCGGTATTCATGCATTAATCAAAAATTTAATTTCCAACAAAAACCGAGAGTATTTAGTTTTTGTTATCACACATCTCTTTTATTTTTCAAAAAGTCCAAAGGCATATTGATCAAGTGTGAATAGTCAAAATAAAATGGAAACCGACAAGATTTTCTTCATGAAATAAGGTAAACTGGTGGGAAACAAAAGCCAAAAAATGAATTATCAGAATAAAAAAAAAACAAAAAAAAACGATAGTGGGGAAAAAATATATATAAAGTAAAAAATAAACAACAACAACAAAAAAAAGTATAATTTGTATCAAGTGATTATATTATTCAATAAAAAAAATACAGAAATAAAATTTTGACAATAATACAATTCAGATAGTAGTAGTTATCAAATATTCGAAGCTAGCTGAGTTTTAGTTCTTTGTTTTTAAACGAAGAATGTGTGTAAAAATCAAACAAACGTCATTCATCGCTCTTTCTAGTGTTCATTTCGGTTATGTTGGAGCCAAAAGAGCCGCAAAAGTGACAAAGAATCTCTGCGAAACTTACTTCGAAAAGCGATGCTCTTCATTCAACAACTGTGTCTACTATATTTCTTATTCTTCATCTTCGCTCCATCATTGTGTGTCATTTCTCGAGTGTCATTGGCTTTGCAGCCATGGATCCTCGATCGAGAAGAGTATCGCTTCGCAGACAATCTTTCGTACATAACAAGAGTTGTAGCTGTCTTTTATTCATTTTTTTAAACGTATTATTTTTTTTGTATACTTAACACATAGTATAGATTTGTAGATAGTATAGTATTTTCTTTCTGATTTTTTTTTTTTTTTCATTTCCTTTTATCTTCTACTAGATTTTGTCCGAAAAAAAAATACAACGCTTGGTATTTGAAATAAACAATTTTATAGTGTTCACATTTTTGTCGGATATTGTTTTCTCATCCGCTAGAATCAATAAATTTGTTTTAAATTGTCAGTAATTACTTGGTCGATTGTATGCTAAATATAATTTTCTTCAATTTTTTTGTTGCTCATTATTTTAATCTGATTCGTGATCGAATACTAATAATATTATGATTATCTTTAGTTGATTACCAAATATTTGATTGTCTAGAAATTTGAAAGAGAAAAATCAGCATATGGTTTTTCTTTTGAGTGAGTTGATTCACTAGAATAATAGTTATAGTTTGATAATAATAGTTGTTTTCTATTATTATTTGTGTGTGTGTTTTTTTTGTTTCATCCACGTTTTTAAGAATAGATTTTTTTTTTTTTGTAAATATTTATCAAATTCTGAATGAAATGATAGAGTTTGCTAGTTAAAAAATAAAAAGAAAATTTTCTGTGTTGTATGCATGTGGAATTTAATTCGAGAGACCGATAACAAAACCAGCACTAAACATTATAGCCTTACAAAATAAATGAGGTTTGATTAAGCTGCCTTCAATATGCTTTATTCCATATTTGATTTGTTGTCTGTCAACGGTCTTTCGGTTTTGTGGGTGTATGTGTGTAGAGAAAAATTCTTTCACACTGACATGCTTCCATTGTCTCTCTTGATTCGTGTCTAAATCATTCGAAAACAATACACTTATTTTGTATATATATATGAAATGAAATAAAAACAACCGTTTCTTTTCGAAATGTGTAATAAAATGTATGTGACAAAAATGGTTCGGGCATTATTAGCAGAACGTACCACATTGTGATTGCATCAGTTTGATCTTGTTTGGTTAACTAATTGGTTTGCGTAAATTGTTCATCGTATAAATGTTTGTGACATGAACGTCGTTCGCAAACATTGTTTGTGTGCCCATTTGATTTGTGCAAACTTTTTATTACCAGTGTGAAAAGCATAAAGAGCGAATAAACGGCCAAATAAACGGTTTTGAAACTAAATTATGTTGAGGTTAAAAAGAAGTGAGTCGGAGACAGAAAGAACAGAAATCACACAAAATCGTCACCATGCGAACTTATTTCAGCCCTTTGTGCTATGTGTGTGTGTGTGTGTCTGTGTCATACTTTGTCATTTATTCTTCAAATTGCTTTAAACAAATGTTGTTTTCACTTCATTTCATTCCACAGTTGCCATAACATTCGATCTATACATTACATGTATAATTTAGTTGCATCTCGTTTCATGTTTTTTTTTTTATTTAAACTATTAGATAGATTTTCTCTCTTTCTGACAGATCTATTTGTATATGAATAGATGCCTAAACGTTGATTTTAAATCAATTATTTCGCTTATAAATTACATATATTTCACTTAATGCCCAGTAACGCGCATATTACACGAGCTTCATCATTTTCATTTTTTTTTTAATCAATGTATTGCGTCTCTTTTCGACAATTCTTACTCAAAAATTTATCAATACTATTATTAGGTTTTAACCTATTTAATTTTTGCATTTCTTATTCGTCATCTTGATGTTGCAATTATCGTTTAATTAATCATTTAACGTTTATTTTACTTGTTTTGTGTTTGAATGAGTTGTTGCTTGTTGTAGGTAAATTTATTATAATATATTCCTTTTTCAATGATATTATTGTAAAAAAAGGTTTGATTTTCTCTCTGCTTCTTTATTTTCTTTTCATTTTTCCTTTTCTTTTAACTTCTTCATCTCTCTAGTTTATTATGTATAAGACGATTATTATTTGTAATTTATTTATTTTTTTAATCAGTCGCTGCAAGACTTATTTCTGCATCCATTCAGCTCAATTCTTCACAGATTGATGAATGGCTCGATTCAGTTCAAGATGGACTCGTGCTTTCAAGTGGATCAACTACTGTTGTTCATCGTTATTCGTTTATTCTTTCTTTTGTTTTACTCGCCATCAGTTTCGTTTTATACACAACATTTCTATTTGTATTTATTGTATATAGTAGTGAAAATATAAAAAGTTTAAGATGTTACGTGTAAATTATATGTGCATGCAATGCATGTATTGACATGCATTGGCATGTATAATGTAATAGTTATTATCATCATGTTGTGTGGGTGTGTACGGGTGCACAACGGTCTCGGTAAAGGTATCGCAGATACGAATGTTTATCATGCATGCCAGCCGAACAAATGCCAGCATAAATGCTTGCAGATCCAGTTATAATTAATATATTCTTATTAACTGCAGCCATGTTGTCGGTAATAACGGAGATTTCCCAATTTCATATTTCCTCTTTAATTTTTGATTATTTTTTTTTTGAGTCTGGTTGTTTGTTCTTTTTAGCGCTTTCCTTTTCATTATTTTCCTTCGCTTCTCTTCTATTCATTTTTCTCCTTCTTGATTGATTTTATTTCATCTCGTTTTGTTGTTGTTCTTTTTACAATTACATTTACGAACATCGTAATGCATATATTTTTCAAGTAAAATCACTGAATCTTAGACGATGTTCAGTTTTAATGCTGCATTTATTATTCTTTTTGTTTTCCCTATTCTTTTTTTAGCGATATGAAAACAAAATGTGCTTTGCATAAAAAGCTTGAAAGTAATACTATAAGATTGAACTTGATATATCGGTAGAGAGAGAAGGAAGTAGCGAAAAGTGAAGTGACTTCGAAATATATATGTATATATTCTTTTTCATCTTGTTCTCGATTATAATTTTTTTTTCTCTGCATTTAATTAACATCTAGTTGTTGCACAAAATTGTAAATTGCTGACGATGTGGACATAAGTTAGCCAAAAACTAAAACACCGCTCTCATTTGCGTTGATGTCTGTGTATATGTGTGTATGCGTTAAATTGGGTTGTGTTGCAGACACACGATGTTTTTTTTTTTTCGTTTTGCGTTTCGGTGGTTGTTTTTTTTTTATTTTAGTTTTTGTTTTGTTTTTATTCCAATTTAAATGTTTGATTTCGAAAAACTGACACGTAAATGATTCGAATCAGACAATTGATAATTGTGCATTTTCATTAAAGCCAATACCGCTTCGTCCACTGAGCTCAGCTGAAGCAAAGCCATCTTCCGGTCCTTACTGTTGTTGTGTACATATTCCATTGGAAAAGAAACAGAAAAATAAAACAAAATAAAACACGTGTCAAAAAAACGAATGAAATATTGAGAAAATGATAAAATGTCAACTAAAAATCAAAGTGATTGAAATCAACCACAATATTGTCACCAAAACACCCGAACAATAAACTTAACTAATTAAAATTAAAAACAAATTTTTGTTTCAGAAATTTACTTACGGAAAGAATTTAAATGCTTTAACTTCAAAGCTATTTTTTGTGAATGCTTCTCGAATGTCTTCTTCAGATACAGTAGTTCTGCAATAAATTAGAGAGAATGTTGCGCTTTAGATATAAGAAAAGATTGGAATGTTTTATGTTGTGATGGTATGAATCGAAACGACAAATGTATTCGAATTGTAGTAGTAAGTGAAAAGAGCTTATTAAATGCATGATCATAATTCAAACAAAATAAAATCGAATTGATATGTTTTGAATATGATGTGTTGATGTATTAAGTTGTCGGTTGTGAACATATTTGTTAAACACCAATATCAATGAAAAACAACAACATTCACAGTTGTAGCTGCAAAAAGGAGCTAAATCGCTTGCGTTCACATTAATTTGGCCAAGCTGTTGAAAATTTCTGTTGATTTTGTTATTTACACAATTCCAGGCCAAAATCGAAAAATACGCGCGATATGCCCTTATTCACAACTTAAACAATACAAATGTTCCTTTAATGACTGGCTCTTCTACTTAAACACTTTTGAAATACGAATCTAAATAGAAATGAAGCGTACATTGATCGCAATGTGAATGAGTCGTGCTATTATTTTAAGACATATTTGGCCGACATGCGTCAGGCAAAAGTAAAGCACATTTCTACGCCAAGGAAATGTTCACTATAAAATGTAATTTACGCAGCAAAATGCTATATACTTCATTTCATGGTGCACCAAATGAAAGTACTAAATAAATATAAATATTATGGGAATAGTTTTAGGAGCAAAAAGTATAAAGTCCCACAGTATGCAATTCTAAATCGGGTTTTCTTTCTATATCTCCATCTCTCTTTTGCTTTTCATCGATGTTCATTTACGTACGTGCGTTGAAAAGACAGAGAGAGATAGAGAGAGGGAGAGAGTGAGTGGTGTTCGTTTGATGACGAAGACGATGATGATGACGAAGTTCATTGTGCAAAGGTATCTACCACTTTTACGAATACATGTGTATGTAAGTAGCGAAATGAGAGTAGCCCAAAAGCAAACAGTTACCAAATTGAAAATTAACAAAGGGTTTAAGAGAATAACGATACAATGAGGAGGCGCCGCACCGATATGGCACGGGTGTGTGTATGTATGTGTGGCAGTGATGAATACAATGTGAATATAAAGTATGTGCGTGTGTGTGTGTGTGAAAGAGAAATAGAAATAAAGCCAAAGTACTTACGGAATGTTGCTTAAATGTAAAGTTGCTGATGGTGGATAAATATTTTGATAATTTTTGCTGCCAGGCTTTTTAAATCTGTGCAATGGATTTTGTGCATAGTCACGCGTTAAGCCAGCATCAGGTTGACCTTCTTTTGGCAGTTGAACAGCTTGATGTTTACTAGCCATTACTCGAATTGCTTTACCCCATAGACGAAGCTTATCCAAATGAGTCATTGCTATTTGTCCGAAAGTGGGAAAGAGAAAAGGCAACAAAAAAACACACACAAAGATATTATGCATATATAGAGTAAGAGCGAAATAAATAGAAAGTGGAACATTTCAGATGGTTTTAATAGCACAATGTGTGCGACACAATTGATGATTATGATGAAGGAAAGAGAAAACAATTACGAAATGAAAATTAAGATAAAAACTTTCAAATATTTGGCGCTTGGAAATTTGTTACGAATTTATCGAGAAACATTACTTCAATTTCAATGAATTTCTCCATTGAAACTTAATGAAAGTATTCGATCGATGAAACATGTGTTCATATTTGAATTTCGACTCGCTATTTCCAAAAGCATTCCATTGCGCACTTTATAATTTGAAAGTTTACACCTTCTTTCATAATTTAGCAAACAAATGTTTACAATGCTATGGCGTTAGTGGTTTTTCTTTTGTTTGATCATTTTTTGACAGTGTCATCATATATACTCACCCAAATACGCCTGATGTTGTTCAGCCATTTGAATTAGTGCCGAGTCCTTTTTGTTGTACAGAATTTTTACACGTTGTACATCACCATAGACACCTGTGATAATGCGACACATTCGAATACATGATTATACGGAAAAATATTCATTTTATACATGAAATTGCCCTCAGAGAGTGACTCCAAAGAAAAAAAAAAAAAAAAAATTCGATTCGTTTGGGAATTTGAAAAATACAGAAAAAAAAAAAACAAAAGAAAATTGAAGGCGATGTGTTATTGATATTGTTATGAAAACTGTAGAATGAATACAGAATCGCTATTTTGTTTTGGATCAAACACAATCATAGGGTCGATCTCAATAAAGTTTTGTGTTGCTTTGATGATGGAGAGAAAAAAATGGCACCAAGTTTTGTCATTTATTCCATAGCAAGAAAGAACTAATATAAATAATGAGATATACTTTTCCTTTATATCTAACGATTTATACCCTTCAGTCTATTCATAATGAATTATCACAGATTTCCAACAACAAATATTGACGTGGAACGCAAGAAAGCTGTACAACTCGTATCATCAAAGAGCATTCCCGTTCAGAATAATTATTCAAACATTTTCGCTGAATTATTTTAATAACCATTTTAATTTATTAGAAAAATCCTTCTGGTATTTTGTATTCCGAGCAATGATGACAGTAACGATGAAAATTGATGAAAAAGTGCGTTTGAGTTTTGAAATGACTAAGCCAAAGTATGGCCAACAACAAAAGATAGTCAAAGAACAAGATAGGAAGGAATTTTCGTTTAAAAAATGGAAGCGAATATATGTCGCTAATGTGAAATGTCTGTGTAAAATGTGCGCTGAACAATTTTTTTTTTTGTTTATTCATTTCTGTGTAAGCTTTATGCATTCGAAACTTTACGCCACTTATGTTGATATGCAATCACTGGTTTACACTTGTTTTTTTTCGGCTATTTTTCCCTTAGACATTTTTGACGATCCTCTTTGCTATCGTAGCAACTGATGCTGAAAATGCGTTTTATTTCACAGATTATCGCGCACGTATGCTTTTACACCGTACTGTGTCTGTTTTAGTGACTAAGCGAAATCGTACCACATACATTCTTTGTAAATTGAGATATTTTCTTTTTCTTTTTCTATTTGTTTCTCAAGTTTTTTTTTTACTTTCTATGCCGGCTATTTTTCCACATTTTTAGTTACATCTTTTTTATGCTCGCCGGTCGAGCATATTAGCGATGAAAGGAAACTCGAAACATCCAGAAGAAGAAGATGAAGAATAAGTTAAGAAAAAACATGGTAAACGATTGCCACAGTTATGGTAAAACGCACAAATGGGGAATGAAGGTTAGGAGAAAAAAAATGTCAACCATAAGATTCGTTAGGGATTTTATAATCACATCAAAAGATATTTCATTCATTTTTATATTATCTGTGTCACATTAACATGAAAGTAATAATAAGCCATAAAGAAAAAAATCAGACATTTATCCAAATTCGTTTGACGTTTTTCTCCGAAACAAGACAAGGGGCAATGTGATATGATTTGATTGTTTTTAAGCAACGGTTAGGAAATGAGACTTAATTTTCTGTTGACAAGATATCCTACAATTATGACTTATCTTTGGTCGTGCGTTTATAAAAGATCGCCGCTACCAACCGAAAAATAAAACACCGCCAATGGTTTTGTGTAATTTTGGGTAAACTAGGACCCTTCGTCTTTAAAATGCACATTTTTTTCAACCAAACAGTGTGTGTTTGCAAGTGGTTTTATATAAGACCTCTGTGGACCTCTGTGTCTTGAATTAAAAGAGTAAAAGAGAAACTAAAGAAAAAGGAAGTGCTAACAGTTAACGCTTCTGTGTAAAATACAATGAGTGTCGATGGTATGAAACTTCATCGCATTGGTTAACAAAAATTAACATTTCCAGCGTTGATCTTTTGATGTCATTCGCTTTTTTAATCATTAAAATTGGTCCTTTACAATTCGCTATTTGTGTCTCTGTGTGTCAAATTTCATAGAAAATTAATCAAATGTAACCTTTCAAACAGTTTTCGGTCTCCTGAACCAATGTATTGTGCATATAATTTGCTTGTGGAATCCATTACCATTTGACCGATATTCCATTTGTTTATGAAGAACAGTTATATTTGTGTTACGATGAATCGATTTAAATTATTTATTCACTAAATCGTATTTAAGTATTTAGTTTGATGCCAATTAACTATTAATCATAATTTAATGTTTGTCGTTGAAAAAATCGATTTTGAGCAAATATATTTAAAAGATATTAGTTAGTAGCATTCGTTTGATGATTAAATTCATTTGGCCAACTTTATAGAAAGAAGCGAGCACTCAATTTTAGCGGAACTATTTTGAAATGGAACAATTACATGATTAAATGGTCAAAATCTTTTCACACGGAACGTGTATTCCATAATAATGTTGGAATTTAATTTTTATTTTCTACTTGGATGCTTTTGTTTCCATCCGAGCAGCATCCGAGTTGCAAAATTATGTGACGTTTATTTTATAAAATCGCAGCATGAGAAACACACCCCACAACAATGTATATAAAACACATTAAGCAGATTGTTTACACCAAATTAAATGAATGGATCCGAAAACGCTACGGAAATACCATCTAAATAGACGATAATTTGTTTTGAGGTTCCGTGTATTGTGTAGCGATTGTGTAAGACACGCTCATTATTCAGTTCATGTTCGTGCATCCTTTTTTTCCCCTGATGCATTACATTTACGCTTTGCTGTGATACGCCGTGGCAAACAATAAAAGTCAAGAGCTCTTTGGGTTGACACCATCCTCTGTTTCGATATTTGTTAAAAATTCGCTTCGAAATATTGGAATTTCGCCAAACTTAAACAATTGCATTTTATAATTCTTAACCAAATTTGAGCGAAATAAATGTCAACCAAATGAGATATAGTGAAAAGTTTTTCATCAATCGATTGATAGTGAGACAGAGAGAGAGAGAGAAAGAATATAGCCAAAAGGCATACTTTTACGTTGTTATTCATTCCAATTGGTATGTATAAGATGTGAATGAGTCACATTCACTCATATGCCATTCAGTATTTTAATTCGTCTAATTTAGCAATTCGATCGTGTTCAATTGTTATATTTGTTGCAATTTATATAGCGTTCATGCATTGTCGCACACAGAACAGTCGATTTTACTGTTGCAAATAAACTTATTGTTAAAAGCAGCAAAAGACTCTCTACCTGAATAAAGATGTGAGTTTCCATCTTCTTAACATTCTATCTTTGTGCCGTCTATTCGAAAAATGATGGAAAAGAGGGACGGAAAACAAAATGAAATGAAATAAAATAAAGAAAATAAAAAGCAACATTAAAAGTTGTGTACAATAGCTTCAGTTGCTATGATAATAATAATAAAGAGCTTGAGTAGTGAAGAGAAAACGATAGAAAATGTTCAAGTCTTATATTTTTCACGACAACTCTTCGAATCATTTCGATTATTCCATTTTGTATTTCATTTTAATGCATATGTGGAATGTGGATTCCGTACATATTCATTTAATGAACGGGAGTGATATGGAACAAAATCGGAGAATGTATTGACTATATGCACCACTATATAAACGCAACGCATTCATACATAGACTAGTAACTCAAGAGAAAGGATGCTTTTTGTAAAGTGGGTACACCACATGCATACACACCGTTAGAAACTGAGGAGTAGCACAATCCAAAATGAAGAGCATGTGAAATAAAATAGAGGAAAAAATATATATATCGAGCAAAAAATTTCACCGGCAGCTGAAATATTGTCGCAGAGGACTGTGAACCCCGCATTTCGCGTTCTTTCCTTGTGTCAATGTATATGTGTGTGTGCCACTGTGTGCTATTCACATTGTATCGACAATGTTATGCGCCTTTGTCTCCACGTGTCAGGTAAAAAAATTCGTTCTACGTTTTTCCCATTTCCCAATGAGATTCACTTCTTTTTATCCTGTAAAGTGGCTGCATGTGTGTATCGTTCACTAGTAATTGGAAAATCATCTCATCAATTTTATTTTTATCAAAAAAGCGTAAAAAAATTTTCTTCTTTGACGGATACATGCGCACACACATATGAAAGCCGCGATATATGCTTTTTATATTGATATTTATTTCCTCTCGGTCTCTTTTGCATTTGGCTCATGAAAAATTCTTAAGTGTGTTGGATGGATCGGTTTATTTCAATCTTTCTGCAATTAACACGTACTCGATAGATTGATGTAAGTGTGGAGATGCAAACCGCGAGCAATGTGACACATACGAACGCCATATATTACTCATTAAGAGATTGTTACACGTAAGGTGGCAGTTTGCGTGGTTTTAATTAACTCACAAATGCGAGTGACTAACATTACCGCAAGCAAATCGATTTAGTTGTGCATCAATTTGTGGCCATTTCCCACCAAAATTGATACATTTCATATTTCACGAGATGTTGTAGAGACATACATTATAATTTCGAATTGTGCCAATCAAAAGGATTTATTATTCGCATCATTATACGAGCATGTAATTAGCACGAATATGAAATATGTGTTTGTTTGTCACGAATATCATAGCCCACAGATGTGTTTGTAAAATTTTGGTTTTGTGTTTTTTTTTTTTCGAAATATCCCAGAGAAGACAGATTGATAAGCGCATTATTGCGGGAAAAAGCACACGCTCACACATTTTATTCGTTATGCCCATTTTGGGAAAAGAATGGGTGCATTTTTTTCACTGCCGGTGTTTGCGTTCGTGTGTGTGTGTGTGTCTGTAAAAGTCAGTATCACTTGTACTATACAAAATTGGATCAACTTTAGAGATTGTCGAACACACAACAATTTTAATGAGGTAAAAGTTTTTAAATTGGTTTTATTTTCATTGTTCGACAAAAATATTCAATAGCTTGTTGCGACAGGGATTTCATATAAAAAAAATACAGATGACGTTCGGCTGCCGTGTGTTTCTTGTTTTCTTTTTTTATTATTTCTCTCTATCTCTTGTTTACAAAAGCTTCTGCAACAAAAAAAATTGTATGATACATAACACAGAGAATAT